CTTCAGGGGTAAACAGTTTTGAGCTTGGAATTCTTCAGGGGTATGACAATGAAAAACATGTATCCTCGACAGGGGGGTACGGATATTAAATGGAATAGCCCATTAACTGCTTCATATTTAATACTGTAGACAGAAATGTTGTATATGTAAATACAGTCGATATATATTACTGTAAAACCTATGGCAATTCAAGATAAATATAAACATATAACATTTCAGGATAACTTACTTTGAAACGACAACCCAAAACGGAAAGAGTATTCGATATTTTTGGAAAAAATGTTGTTGTATTAAACTTGCCAACCACACCACGAGACTGATTCGGGAAGAAACCGGAAGTTATGCACTGAAACGAATCATACGTCACAAAACGTCATCAATCCATTGTTCTAATCTCGATTTTTCTCCCTGTCTCCTCCACATAACTCGCGGAAAGCCTGGTACCGACAAAATTAGTATGCTGCCTCTACGAGGCAGCAACTACAAGGCAGCAATTATAATACTGTCAGTGGTACATGAAGCTAGCCTATAGCAACTGGTTATACTGTGCAAGTTTTTAATGATTTGCATTGCATGTTTATTAGCATATAGCATGAGTGAGCATGACCAGTTGCCATGGCTAGCTTGCCATTGATACTGTACAATACCATATGTATAAACAATAATAATACTTGAATAAATCATTGGACATGTAGAATTTAATAACAATTTCATATTTACAAATACTAAATCAGTTATCATTTTAATGGCAGCTTCAAGGCTACCCCTATCACAGAACAACTGAACATTTTGCTGACGGGGAGACAAAATCCATTTGTTGACATTTTTGTTTAATACGCCAGCTTCAGATGACACCATTCATTTGTAATGACTAAGATTATACTCAGTCAGAACCGCAAAACTATATAATAAGAAAGAAATTGAGAGCGTTATCGAAAAATATAGTATAAGTATACCCTGAAATATAGTGACACAGCTTGGTGAATATCGTACTTACTACTATGCTAACAATGGACATATCCCAGAGGTATATTTTGACAGATCATCATACCTTACAAAAGTTGGTTGACAACTTGACATGTTATTACATTTTAAAGATGCAGTACAATCTGTACGTAAACAAAGACTTTGTTTTACATTTTGGTATCCAAAATATAGAATTTTATTTGACAACTTATATTTTCATGATTCTAGAGTATAATAAATTATCAAAACACAACAATCAAGCTTTGTAAGAACATAAAATAAAATAAAAACACAAATAAACTGTTTGTATATAAATAAAAAGAGGGCTCCTGAGTGTACATGAACAGATCGGGCGGTATCACAACTTTAATATGTGCAGACAACAATCCTCATAGCCATAGGTGCATTTATTTAATATGTATGATTATGTTTTAATGTTTTGGGCTAGTATAGCAAGGTATAAAAGCTGAGTCAAAAACAGGGCCACAGAGACATTTCTCATTAGTGTACGAAAATATGACAAAAAATTGGAAAATATATCTACTTTAAATACAGCTGTTAAACATTGTTATTTCATGTCAATTTTGAAATGGCAAGCTGATTTTATCTCGTATTTAAGGTTTCTATTATAAAATCCTGCACATACGATGATACGAAGTACCAAACAAAAACATACTAGGCTTTCGCCTGGGCTTTCGCACACGTTTTACAAACGTAACAGTCGAAATTGATGTGTATAATATTGAGCTTAAAAGCGTGCACATTTACATACCTCTAAACGATCTCCCTTTCTCACAAAACTTGAATTGATAAGGCCAGTAAATACAAAAAATGTCTTTGCTCCGCTCCTTCGGTTATTAAATATATGCTGGAAAGCTAGAGATCGAAATATTTTTAAACGCCATTCTTGGTACGTCGTTCGCAGATCGCTGAACAAAGCATTCGGCAGTCA